TAATTTATACTCACACATTAGTATGCGACAATTTAATAAAAAAAAAAAGTTTGTTGTAAGCATGTATTTTGATTGGATGTTGACACGCGCGAAGTATTAAAAAGACTGTTGTTGTATACATTTACGCAGAATATACAGATCGCTAAATGTGATCGGAAATACAAAATGCAAATGAAACACAAAATTCTTTTTTATGTTGATCGAACGACGAAAATGATTGATAGATATTTTCGATTTGTAAAACTTGTGCGAGTGTACGAAATTGTGCAAATTGTGCAAGTAGAAAAAAAAATGTATTATAAATGTTACATAAATAACCATTACCGTTCTTGCCTCGCAAGACAAAATTAATATCAAATTATTAATTATTATTGTAATTAATGGGTGATAATGATGTAAAACTTACACACGCAATGATGTGTTATACATAATGTAAATATCTCTATTAATAAGTGTCATTAATATATTATATTGAGTATTACTTGTACGGCCGATACTTGACTGTGTATTACGAATAAAAAGTATAATATTTTATATATATTAATCAATATGTATTTCTCATTTGTATACTGTAACTTAGGTTATACCTGTAACTTAGGTTTGGAAAGCTTTCTCTTGGAGTGCTTCCTTCTCTAGATTTAGGAAAAAAAAATGGAACATCACTCATTATTCGCGGGAGCCCGACGAGATGTATTTAGAACATTTTTCTTCTTTCTAAGAAAAACTTTTTGCTTAATGATGCGCGCGCAATTCCGAAGATCATCGCGAATAATTTGGAGAAAAGATCACATACAAAAATTATATATAAACTATACATTACCCAAAAGAGTATATCAATTTTTATGATACATAAATACAAGACATCTTTACTCGGATGTACTTTTCTCTGCGTCTTCCGTTATCTATAAACGAACAGATTTAATTCACAGCATGATAATTAATCTTCCAATTTTATTTGTATCTATATGATTTTACCTCATCAGACTTTAGAGCGAATAGTTTTTCCTTCGTTGTCCTCTTGAAAAACCCTACCTATGATTAACAAACAAAATAATAGACGAATAAAACATTAGAAGATTAATATAGTGATATGATAACGGTGTGAAGGACTTACCATGTTTAATATGATAACGACGATAAACAATAATATTAGACCTAATGAGACCGACACAAGCACAACCCACAGTTGCAATTTCTGCGTCTTCGCCGTACTATGAAATTCTGTCGTGACATTCGCATCGTGCCTGTAACATAAACGTTCCTTAAATCGCGGCATTTTTCAGGATTTACATGACTATTAACAATCTAAATTATATCATCTTTTGAGAATTCACCTGGCGTTTATCCCTAAAGTCCGGTTTGCCGGTTTTGCGATTTGGACGTAAGCATCCGTGCTGAATTTCACAATCTTCATTTCGTTCGACAGTTTGAAATTGTCTTAAAATAATTAAATAGTGCTCGTTAAAAAAAATACAGAGAGAAGCTGCAATCGTAGCTTGCAAAAAGAGATGTTTCTTTTTTCGTTCGATCGATACCTTTGAGCCTTGTCGTATTGAGAATTAATCTGATCACCAATTTCCCGACGTCCTGTTGCGTCCTTAACGCGTTCAGATCGCAGTACATTGCCGAACAGTTCACGCCGTACGTCGAACAGTTCACGTATACAATATCGCGTTCTCGAACTGTTAGATTACCATTAGAATCTTCGGTCCTCGCCATTCTTATATTGTACAACGTTTGTAAGATGCGACCACTAAAGGATATGTACTTGTCTACGCTTCTTTTGAACATATCATGAGTCGTGTTCTGCAGCGTTTCGTTATTATAGTTTAAATTATATAAATCAGATATATCTGATGTTGTCTCTCCTGGAAGTCCACCCTGTTCTGTATCCATTAAATCTATTCCGTACGACAAGCAGTCGTAATATTTTCCAGATATGTAAATCTGGAAAAATCGTTATACACCTCTAGAGATACATACACGTAGCGAATTATTACAATTATATTTGTAACATTATATATATTATTGTTATTTTATAGGATTGTTTTACAGAACATTCATTTTAATCGCTCTGAATAACTCGAAAACATGGCATTTTTGACAAAAATATTTTATTTAGACGAAAATTTATATGTAATTTTAGAGAGAGAGAGACATATGGGAGAATTTATGTAATTTGAGGTTTTGTTGGCGTCAAATCTTGGTGTCAAATCATATTAAAATCACTTTAACTTTTTTTTAGATAAAAACTATTTATAATAATTTCTTCATCTAATTTTTTTTTTTTTTTTTCTTCATAAAATGATATTCTGCATATAAAAGTCTAAAAGTAATGTTACAAAATCTCGGCACTGATGGCAATTTCGATTGAAAAAATTATCTAAATTCTTGGAAGGCACAATTCTATTATTATTAATAATGTAATGAATATACAATACATATTTAATAATTTTAAAAAACTGCAATTTTTGTGAAAATTCAGATTGTTATCACTTCAAGAACATATCAAGAACTGTGCCAAATTACCCAAATATCTAATAATGTCCAAAATATCTAAATTTCCTTTTTATTATATGTATTTTTACGAATTCATATGTATCTATATTTTAAGCTATATGCTAGAATGACGAGTTTCTTTTATAATATGATGTTTAATTTATTTCATTCTGTCACTCGTATAAATTAAGTAACGAAATAACAAATTAATAATTATTTAGTTTCAACAACTTTCTGATTGTCATCTTATATATATAACATGTACAATTTAAATACAAATTTTAACATGTCTAAAAATATTTTTTTCAAAAATGTATCAAATTATTCAGCTAAAATAATTAAAATAAATTATTTATATAGAAATTAGATACTACAACGTGAACTCAATACCCACCCGCGGCTTATACAAAAGTACCAAAGAATCTGAATCGTCTATAGCCGTTGGTAGATTGACGACAAGCCGCGCTTCTTCTATAGGCGTCGCACCGAATTTCAATATCTGATAAACGTGTTGAAAAATTATGTTCGATCGATCGCTATCCAAATTAGATAGATAGTAACTTTTCTCGATCGCTTTTCTGCAACACAACAACTGTCATCTTCAAAGATTTCATTATCCTTTTTTTTTTCCTAAAATATACTTACCCATTTAACTGCAAAAACGCTTCGCTTTGTAAAGTCAGCGATGATTTAATCATATTCGTGCCATGATTTGTACTGCGAGTTCGTATCTCCGTAAAAAACTCCAGAACTTGCCCATGCAACGAACCGTCAATCAGTTGTCTCATATCCAAATCGAGTTTCACAACTTTCTGCGGAAAATTTATTAAATTTTTCAAAAGAAAAAAAAATTTTTTTTTTCTTAAAGAACTTCATTAAAATGTGATAGAAAAAAATTCAATTACAAATCGAATAATCTTTTATTGGATCTAAATAGACTCGGTGGTTTTATGAGTTTAATATAATTTACGTATCTAAGTTATTTACGCTAAATAAATAAACGAGCATTATCTTTATGCTTATCACCTGCTCGTCCGTTCCGAATGGGTTTCCGACGTCGCAAATAACCAACAGGATATCTCCGTCCGTGTTTTCTTCGCAAAATGGCAAGATACTACGCAATACTATTTCCTTCGGGAAGTTAAACGCGATTGTCGTAAGATATGCCGGCTCAGCGTAATTCCGTAAACGTGTTTCCAAAGTGATGTCGTTGGAACCGATTATCCACGTATTATTCTCCCTACATTTTACGTTTTAATAAATGATTTTTCGCAGGAATTCAGTATTACAGATTTGATATTAAATTAATTACTTGCCCGATTCCCCAAAGTTTCACCGTCGCATTTATGTTGGAATTGCAGACTCTGTCATCTCCGCATTCAATTTCGAAGGGAAGTAAAACTTGCGCGCTCTTCGATTTACCGCTTCTGCTTTCAACAGGGCATGTCTTGCAAAATTCAGGCGCGGACGTATTGTATGCAAAATCGTGAGATGCATAAATGGTAATCGGTTCAATGAAATATTGAATATTATCCTGCAAAATATATGACGTTATTATTAAAAATCATAGACATTAGATTTTTATAGATATTAATATATGATGTTTACCGAAAGAGTAATGGTAGCATTCACACATGAATGAACTGGAGGATCCGTCGAGTACACTTCTAATGAAGTTTCTTTAGTACGCTTATATTTTTTGTCAATGACAAGAGAGACTTTGAAAGCTACAAAAATTATTTATAATTATAGTATTTTAATTATAATTATATAATCAATTGTCGGATAATAAATTATTACTTAACGCTTCATAACTCACCGTGTGTATTTGCTGCGTCGTAGTTATGATATTCAACACACGCTTCAATCAAAAAATTACTGACATTCCTCTGTAAAGTGCTTGGAACGGTGTATACGGTTAAATTTGTCTTTACAACGGGTTTACTTCGAAGTACTATGGTATGTCCTGATTTATACGCGCCTATCGCGATGTCCGCGTACCTATAAATGACCTATAGATGTAGATTTATTGACTTTGGAAATAATTGAACGTAAAATAATCGTATGATAATTTATTAATTGGAATATTATTTATTACATGTATCTGTAATCTTGGGAAAAGTACATACAATTTTTAATAATAAATAATAAATATAAATCTACCAGCTGATCTGCTATTTTTTTTATCGATTTATTTTAATAAAGGAAACATAATTAATAGGGCTGCAAATAATATATTCTATTATATTATTTAAATTAATATTTAAATTAATTAACACATGTAGACGTTATTTGCAATGCTAATAACTTACTTTACTTCGTTAATTCAAAACTATAAAAAGCAACCATTCAATTGGAAAAACCTACTGTTTGATGTTTTATTTAATTGCTATTATTAATTTTATGCATGCAAATATTTTAGGGTTATCAGTAATTTATTAATATAAAATTTCTTCGGGCTTAACAAAAAAATGTACTAACAAAATAATAAATTCTTTTCAACTAACTATTACTCTACAAATAAAAGATAATACAAAGTCGCACAATAACTTACTAACCCATTGTTATCTATATCGATCGGTTCAGCTATCGAAAATCCAAACGTTTGTATATCCACTCCTTTCGCCGGAAAATTAGGCCTAGGAGATTGCATCGTGATCCTTTGTGACATCGCAGGTTTTACTTTATCTTTTAAACTCGCGTCGCCGTTGTAAACATAAATTGCTCCGGATTCTTCCCAAGGAGCGCCCACAATAATATCTGAAATTAGCAAAAATAGCACACTTATATTTTTAATGAGCTTTATTCTAATACCGAAGTGTCTTCAAGTTAATTATACAGTTTCGGTTTATTACCACTAAAACCGTCCCTGTCCACGTCGCCGACCGCCACTGCGTAACCGAACAGTGCATCCTCTTTGGCGCCTTGCAGAATCGTGGCTGATTTGAATTTTTTCTATATAAAAATAAACAATTCAACAAAATGTATTGCTTATTTTAAAATTTTCTGATCCAATCCCACTCGATCTCTCACACTCGACTTATTTGGAAATTAATAAAGTACTATCATAAGTTCGTATCCCAGCAAAAGAAAATTAATTCAAATGATTTGAAAATTGCAATT